GATAGATAGATAGATAGATAGATAGATAGATAGATAGATAGATAGATGGATGGATGGATGGATGGATGGATGGATGGATGGATGGATGGATGGATAGATGGATAGATGGATAGATGGATAGATGGATAGATGGATAGATAGATAGATAGATAGATAGATAGATATGTTGTACCGGTACTGAAGGTACTAATGGAAAAGGGGCATAACAGAGTCCGAGCAGTTTAGAATGTCATTTCTTAAGTCCAGTTTTGTTAGAAAGTCTGTCAGTGAGTCCAGGATAGAGGACAATTCCAAGTCACAGAGTCTCAGCGGAAAGCATCTCCCTGTGTTTTTATTGTACAGGCCTGACAAATACATCCATCTTTATCGGCTTCTTTCTTTACAAGTTGTGGGAGTCACTGGTGCCCATGTCCAACCATCACTGTGCAAAAGGAGGGGTACACCCTGGATAGGTCTCCAGTCCATCACAGAGACATATAGAGACAAACAAGACAAACAACCATTCTCTCTCTCTTTCACCTATGGACAATTTACAGTTACCAATCAGCCTAACATGCAAGTTTTTGGTCTGTGGGAGGAAACCAGAATACACGGAGAAAACCCAGGAAGCCCAGAGAGAACATGCAAACTCCACCCAGAAAAGACCCCAGTCAGGATTTGCACTGGGGTGACCTGCTCACTGAGAGGCGGCAGCTCTACCAACTGCGCCACTGTGCTGCCCCCCCCCCCCCCAACAAATACAGACTCTAGTATCTGATGTATACGTTGTGGGTGTTACCTGTCGGATGATGGTCTTGACACAGACCAGCGGAAGTCCCATATAGTTGGATTTAATAATCCACTTTAACAACTGGTGACCCAAAACTTCCAGAACCATACAAACATCTGGTAAAGGTTGAGGAAACAGAAAGACAAACAGGTGGACACAAACAGGTGGATAGACAGGTAACAGTGAAGGATACGGACACCGTTAGTTCCAGAGATCTTGAAATCGTCAATGAGCTGGACAATTGTTTCCCTAAATGGGTCAGATGGGTCGCTGTCCCTCACCTAGATAGAGAAACAGGTTACCTGAGCACTCCTACACCTGTTTCCGGTGGAGAAGATAAAGCCAGACACTCACACATCGGAGCAGTTTGATCTCATCCAGAGCCGTCTCAGTATAATGTGGAGCACTCTTCACCACCTTCATTGCCACAAACCGCTTCTTGCTGGATCAGAACCACATTCAGAACCTGTGACAACACAATCTGTGGAACAGTCTACAAACATTGAACAGTTCTTACTGCAAGTCCCAGCAGAGCCAGACTGTAGAGAAGTGTCCCCAACCCAGTTTCCTGACCACGTGGTACCTTCCATTAAACAGGTCTCCTATTGTCACTGGGTAATATCCACCTGAACCACAAAGATAAGTCACAAAAATCATTCTGAAGTTTTCTGACTCCTGACACCCTGGATATGTTTATGAACTTTTATGATAAATTCAGATTACCAGTAGGTTAGATTTAGGTTAGGATTGGTTTATAGGTTTAGGAGAACAAACTGAAAACATTTATTCACTCTGTTGTTGCCTTCACTGTTTATACTTGTACATGCAAATATTGCTTCAATAAAACTTTGCTTTTTATTTTCTTCTCATAAACACTAATCAGTTCCACTGAGGTTCTTATAATCTCACCTAATCTCTTAATCGGACCATCTCACCTTGACAGTAATCTGTTGGGTCTTCTTGCTCTTCATCATCAGAGCCCAGCAGATGAATAGGGAGTGGGGTTACCTCTAGTGGGGGTGGGCTCTGAGTTGAAGGGGGTGTAGTTAACTGAAATGTTATGGGAGGGGGACTGAATGTAGGGGCAATTGAGTCCAGAGAACAGAGGAGGGAGGCAGAGGAGGAGCACAGGTAAGAACAGACATTGGAGGTAAATGTCACTGAGGTCAGCAAGGAGGTGTCATAGTGAGTAGAGCTTGAAGGGGGAGTTGGAGGAGCTTTTGCAGGCTGCAGGGACGATGATGAAAGTGACTGGCTGGGAATGTGGGTGATCCTTCCTAATGGGGCAGAAGGTGATTGGATGAGACATTGGGAAGTTTGGAGGGTAGTTTTAGAAGGTACTAGTGGTGCTACAGGTGCATTTGTGCTATCTGTAGTGAATGGTATCGTCAGGTGGGAGCTACAGGGATGGGATGACTGGGCTGTCAGGTGGAGACTCCAAGGATGGGGTGACTGAGCTACAGGGTGGGGGCTATGAGGACATGGTGGCTGTATTATCTGATAAAGGCTTTGAAAACCAAGTGAAGAAGCTGTCTGGTGGGGGCTCAGATGAATGGGTGACTTGGCTAAATTGTAAGAACTGTGAGGAGTGGGTGAATGGTCTGTCTGTTGAGGGCTCTGAAGATGGGGTGACTGGTTTGTCTGGTGGGGGTTTTGAGGACTGGGTGAATAGGCTGTCTGGTTGGGGTTTTGAGGACTGGGTGAATAGGCTGTCTGGTTGGGGCTTTGAGGACAGGGTGACTCTGTTGTTTGGTGTGAGGTATGAGGAGGGGATGACTGGGTTGTAGGGTGGGGACTTTGAGAATGGGGTGACTTGGCTGTCTGGTAGGTACTTTGAGGTTGCAATGAGTTGACTATCTGAGTATATGGTGACTGGGTTTGGGTAGCACTTTGAGGTTCTAATGTGGTGGATTTATGTGGATCCTTTGAACCTGCTGTGGAGATGTTATGGTTTTTAGGGACCTGGAGATCTTTCTGGTGGTCACTCTGCAGCAATATTTGAGACGGGCTCCCATCTTCCCTCAGACTCTGAGAGTTACAGAGCTCATTCAGCCTGAGGAAAAAAAAATCTGTTAAATTATGTTTATTTATACAACAGCACTTCATAAAATTTAACAGTAATTTTCCATATGTGATTATATATCGTAAAACATGGGATCACCTAAATATGGTAAAATATTATAAAATCATGTGTGAATCATATAAAGAACATTTGTTTCATATGTAATTTCAGGGTGATGTCTGTACACCCATATCTGTCAAAGCAAGGTCTATAAACCCCTACAAGATATCCAAGATGATGCTGCAGATAGCAACACTGGTTAGGATCTTCGTTGCGTTTGCTTTGTTTTTCCTTGTTTGTTTTGCTACATGTGAGCCAAATCCTTTCACATACAGCGCAGAAGATCTGCTGAATATCAGAGTGCTTATACCATCATGATTTCTCCAAATTCTTTGTTCCCCAACAGCTTTTTGGGCATCATAGTGAGCTGAGCAGCTGCTCTCCTCGGCAGACGCTGACGGACATGCAGACAGCAGAAGCGTGTGGGAGCGCTTGTTCAACTCCAGCAACGTGGACTACACACTTACTGAGCATCTTTCTGGCAAATGTTTGCTCCATAAGCAACAAAATGGATCAACTTCCACTGCTAACCAGCAGTTTGAAAGACTTTTCTCTCTCTGCTGTTCTGTGCTTCACTGATATCTGGCCCACTGAGGTGGACTATCAAAGCCAAAAAGAGGGTCCAGGGCTGTGTGGAACTGACAAAATCATGTGTGTCTGATGATGCTACAAGCAACTTGGATGAATACATGGACACTGTGACATCTTATATTGGCTTCTGTGAGGACATGTGTTGACAATGCACATGATGTTCAACATTCTGTCGAATGTCCGCTCTTGGGACAACAATTTGGATTTGCGTCGTCTGAGAGTGGGCGCCTCAGAGGAGATAGAATAGAATAGAATAGAATAGAATAGAATAGAATAGAATAGAATAGAATAGAATAGAAACAGCCTTTATTGTCCCACGGATGGGAAATTCAAGTGTAACAGCAGCAACAGATAAAAAAGATAAAAAGATTTTACACAGAAGTTCCTAAATGTTAATAAACAATACAATATATAAAGAAATAAGATAAAAATATCAATAATAATGTTAAATATGTATTGGAACATTGATAAGGACAGACTACTGACAGTACAGTATTATAGGCAGAGTGTGTGTTTTAGCAGAGGTCAGCATGTATTTAATCCTTATTGAGTTTGTTGGGAGCAGTGATGGTTGTAGAATCTAACAGCTGCTGGGAGGAAGGACCTGCGGTGACGCTCCTTTGTGCATTTAGGATGCAGGAATCAGTCACTGAACGAGCTGTCCAGTTCAGCAACAGCTTCACGGGGTGAGGGACGTTGTCCAGCAATGATGTTATTTTAGCTGGAGTCCTTCTGTCTCCCACCACCTGTACTGGGTCGAGGGGGCATCCAAGCACAGAGCTGGCCTTCTTGATGAGCTTATCTAGCTTCTTCTTCTCAGCTGATGATAAGCTGCTGCTCCAACACACAATACCATAGAAGATGGCTGATGCCACTACTGAGTCAAAGAAGGTCTTCAGGAGCACCCCCTGCACTCCAAAAGACCTCAGTTTCCTCAGCAGGTAGAGTCTGCTCTGACCCTTCCTGTAAAGTGCATCAGTGTTGTGAGACCAGTCCAGTTTATTGTTCAGGTGAACACCCAGGTACTTATAAGAGTCCACAATCTCAATGTCCACTCCCTGGATGTTCACCGGGGTCAGGGAGGTGGGTCTGTGCCTGTGGAAATCCACCACTAGCTCCATAGTTTTAGCAGCGTTGATCAGGAGGTGGTTCTGCTGGCACCAGTCCACCAAGTCTTGAGTCTGCTGTCTGTACTCTGAGTCATCCTCACCTGTGATGAGGCCAACTATGGCAGAGTCATCAGAAAAATTTTGCAGATGGCAGTGTGGGGAGTTGATGGTGAAGTCTTCAGTGTAGAGGGTGAAGAGGAACGGTGCTAGCACAGTTCCCTGTGGGACCCCTGTACTGCAGACCAGCATGTCAGAGACACAGCCATGTGTCCTCACATACTGTGGGCGTCCAGTGAGGTAATCCAGTATCCACTAGGACATGTGGTGATTCACTCCTGATAACTCCAGCTTGTCCCGCAGAAGTCCTGGCTGGATGGTGTTGAAAGCACTGGAGAAATCAAAGAACATGATCCTCACAGTGCTTCCAGGTTTCTCCAGGTGGGTCAGAGCTTGATGCCTGAGGTAGATGATGGCATCATCCACCCCGATGCCAGGCCGGTAGGCAAACTGCAATGGATCCAACGAAGACCTCACCAGGTTGAGGACCAGCCTCTTGGCTGTCTTCATCAAATGTGAGGTCAGATGAGGATGAGATTTATGATGAGATGAGGAAATGTGCAGTGCTTTGTCTCACGGAATAACAGCTTAACAGCGGCATGTCAACTCAGCCTTCCAGCTGGATGACATACTTTTTTTTCTTGAGCAGACTGCTACAGTGAGCTAAGGGAAAGTCATGGGGAGGCAGAGTATGCATCTATGTAAATAAAGGTTGGTGCAGAAACTGTACTCTGATAAACTGCCATTGCTCCAAGGCTTTGGAGCAGCTAACTGTAAAATGTCGACCGCATTATCTACTCTGCGAGTTCACAGCAGTGTTCATAAAAGTTGTTTACATTGCTCCCGATGCTAATGCTACAGAAGCCCTGCGGGAGCTTCATGATAATATTAGCTTGCTGCAGAACAAACACCTTGAGGCTTTTTTATGTGGTTGCTGGTGACTTTATTCACGTAAATCTGAAGGACTCCCTGCCAATGTTTTATCAGCATGTTGCCATACCAACACGAGGAAACAACATGCTGGACAGTGTTTACAAGAATGTACAACATATATACAAAGCCACAACCCACCCCCACCTAGGACTTTCTGACCATATCTCCATCTTCCTGGCCCATGCTTACCTCTCCCCGCTGAGATGCTCCAGGCCAATACAAAGGAAAGTCAAAACTTGGGTGAAGAATAGTGACTTCATATTAAAAGACTGTTTTGTATGCACAGACTGGCAGGTCTTCAGAAAAGGTGCTATAAATGAAGGGGATCTAGACCTGGAGCAATACACATCCTCAGTCCTGGGGTACATTAGCAAATGTGCTGATGACGTCAGCACCATCAGATGTTAAGAGCTACCTGAACAGAAAGCCTTGGCTGAACATAGAGGTTCACACCCTGCTGGAAGCCAGGAACATTGCCTTCAGGTCTGGAAACTCACAGGAGCTGAGAAGGACAAGGAAAGAGCTGGTTGCTGGTATTAAGAGGGCCAAAGCCACATATGCACAGAGGATCCAGGGTCAATTCACCACAAAAGACCCACGGAGCCTGTGGAGGGGCATTAAGTGTATAATAGATTATAAAGACAGAGGTGCACAATGCACTGGAGACTCATCACTGTCTGATGCCCTCAACAAGTTCTACGCATGCTTTGAAGACCCGAACAGACCACCCAGCACCAGAAGAAAAGTTTCTCAGTGTGACCTCAGCCTAAGTGAGGAGTACTTTAAGGAGGATTAATCCTCATAAAGAAACTGGCCCAGACAACATCCCTGGGAAATTGCTGAAAGACAGTACCAATCAGCTCTGCAAGGTGCTGGCTGACATATTTAACTCCTTATTTACCCTGGCAACAGTTCCCACCTGCCTGAAGACCACCACCATCATCCCAGTCCCAAAGAGCTCTACAATGACTGGTCTGAATGACTATCAGCCAGTAGCCGTCACCCCGATAGTTGCTAAATGCGAAAATGTTATTGATAACATATATATTTAACAACTATAATATAAAGTTAGTATCTCATTAACGCAGCAAATGAATAACGCCGACAATTATTTTAACGTGCGTTAATATTGTTAGGTTTTGTTTTCCTCCTTAATTTATCTCCTCAGAGTCTATGAACACACACACACAGCACTCCGGCCAGGGCCGACTTTCCAGCTTGAGAGCAAGACAAGGTCTACCTCAACAAGGATTACATCCAATAACAATGAAGCTAGCATTGTCTTGACTAATTACTAACAGGAAAGCAGGTCAAAAGCAAGCTGGTGGAGAGCTGAAGGATTCTGTTGGAGCGGCAGAGTTCGGTTCACAAAAGCAGCTTTGAGCAGAGCCGCTGCAGACTGCAGCTCTGACAAAAAAAAAAACATGCCCATTACCCTTTGAATTCACCTCCCACCCCCCGAACAGGTAAACATCCTTCCCTCTCCTTTCTGACGGAAGGTCGAAGTGCCACAAAATCTGCATGAATAATAATAATTTTAATAAAAGCTGCAAGCAGCATTGAAGGCCCTCACAGCAAAGCGCCGCTGCGGCCTTACGGCGACCGTGGGAACTCCAGCAACTCTTCCCGGTTGCCATCAATAACGCTCGCGCTACCGTCTAGCGCCCGTTCCCCGGAGTGGGCATTCGCCGAATATTTGACATCAGCTGCGACCGCAGATATAACTATTGTAATAATGTAGGGGGCACACTTGAGTAAAAAGTAAAATACCAATACCATATGTGTATAAGTGCTCACTAATCACACACCAAAAATCTGGTCCAGATCAAACAAATTTTCACTGAGATATAACTGTTTGAATAATGTAGGGGGTGCACTTGAGTCAAATATTAAACAACAACACCACTGTGTCCATAAGTGCTCACTAATCAAGCACCAAAAATCTGGTGCAGATTGGATGATATATCACTGAGATATAACAGTTTGAATTATCTAGGGGGCGAACTTGAGTCAAAAGTAAAACAACAATACCATTGTGTGTTTAAGTGCTCACTAATCACACACCAAAAATCTGGTCCAGATCAAACAAATTTTCACTAAGATATAACTGTTTGAATAATGTAGGGGGCACACTTGAGTCAAATATTAAACAACATCATCACTGTGTCCATAAGTGCTCACTAATCAAGGACCAAAAATCTGGTGCAGATCGGATGATATATCACTGAGATATAACAGTTT